GCCTGAATACCTCAAGGTGACCTCTAGGAAACACTTGTATAAAAACATAGTCATCCCGTATCACTAAGCGATTAACCTTTAACATACAATACATAATATTTTTTGGTTAAAAATGTCTAACCTAAAAGAGATTAGTTTTTTTATTGCACTCGATTTTGTAACATCGGAATAAGTTTGAAAACGGGATATTATGGCATTCGGCAAGTAAAGCAATTGCCTTCCGTATTCATTGAATTAGAAAGGTCTTATATCAAAAATTGTTTTGCGATATTTAACTTTAAGTTATAGGGTTTAAATGCATATTGCTTTGACTACCATTGAAGGTCGAAAACACCGGTTTGTGAATGTATGATGTAAGCGAGTTGGGAACATGAAGTCAATGCTCTCTAAACAGAACACCATAGTATCTGCGTGATTTCCATTATTTGACTTGAGGAAAAGCATTTAAATGTAGCTATTCTGACAAAGGGTATTATAAATTAAATACATGTTGACACACATATACAACTTTAACATTTAAGTTGTTTTGTTTGAAATATCTACTTCGCAGTAATCACAAAATCGCAATGATTAATGTGAGCTTCAAGATGTCAAAGTCAGATATCAATTTCATCTCGAATACATATTTAGTTATAATTTGTAGATATATGAATGTGGAAGAGTGGAGTGAGGTGTGCCAGGAAATGTTAATCTCTGCCTACCCCTCAAGGTCACGGGCTAAATATATTGTTATTAAAGCTAAAGGAACATTTTTCGACTTTATCACTATAGAAGCATCAATCCTCTGGACTATGATAAAAAATCGAGGGTCCAATTCGCTATTAACTATTGCAATTTGGAAACCTACCTTCTAAACTAGAAGAACACCTCCTTAGTTTTAGGGTAGGTTAAAAAATAGCTTTTACAGTGTTCAACATTTATATTATACATTCCTTTTTAATATTAGTGTTAGGAAGAAAATCCTACACTGTACCTGTGTATCGGCGCAACACTAGCCTTATTAAAATGTCAACGTTTATGTCCCCTCACTAATCAATCTGTCACTTGATTTGGTAACGATGACGCGCCATTCGCCCCAAAGGATTGCAACTAGTAATGTCTAAATTAAGATAAGAAGGTGTTCTGCCTATACTCCTCTCTTACTTAACAAGTATTGAACAATAAGCTCTTGTTTTCCAGCTGAACCCGCAACACACAGTGCCGACACTAGTCGACGATGGCCTGGCGCTGAGCGAATCGCGCGCCATTATTACGTACCTGGTCAACAAGTACGGCAAGGCCAGCGGCCTGTACCCGGAGGAAGCACGCGCACGCGCTCTCGTCGACCAGCGCCTGTACTTTGACATCGGCACCCTCTACCAGCGCTTCAGTGAATACTTCGTAAGTTAAACTCTATTAACTAATAATAATGTGGATAGCTGCATGTGCAGTTGCTCTTTGCATAGACTGCATTCAGATATGCCTAGTGTCCGCAAAAAGATAAGGAGGCATCGTTTCTATTACAACAAACTTTGAAGAGTAGATGTCGGTGCTCGATAAATGCTCTATTTATTATTTTAAGCTTAAATATTTAGAAGATTTAAAGTGCTTTAGTTTACCGCGGACTTCCCAGGTCAGTGGTGATAAATATACATACGATACGTGGAATAAATTTTATTCAATCCTTAAATGCACAACAGGAAAATTATTTTTATTTGTGTTTGCGGACGCAGGATAATGTAATGATAAAATACATATTTATTTATTTGTTTCCATACAACGACTGTATTGTTTATTAAACCACACAATATGAGGTAATTGTTGGTGATTGGTGTACAAAAAATAATTGAAATTACTCAGTAAATAAAAATATAGCTAAATAATTTACCTCGTCCAAATCAGCTCAGCAATTTAGCTCTCATAAATCATAAAATTTTGTACATGGGGAACTACCTCAAGCGTACTTATAGTATAGTAGGTTTTGTAAGCATAGCACCAAGAAAAATCTAATGGTCGTCGCCTACAGCGAAAATTAGGGGTTGCGGGAACTCTGTCTAAAACATGACCGCGGCAATATTTCCCTTTAATTGTTTCAGTACCCACAAGTGTTCGCTGGTGCTCCAGCGGACAAGGAGAAGGCGGCCAAAGTGGAGGATGCCTTGAAGATCCTGGACGTGTTCCTAGAGGGACAGAAATATGTTGCGGGCGCCGGCCTCACTGTGGCTGATCTCAGCCTCATCGCCAGCGTCTCCACATTCGAAGCCTCCGATATCGATTTCAAGAAGTTCGCCAATGTTAAGAGGTTAACAATACGCGCTTATACCTAAACACTTGAATCAAGATTGAATTTAATTAGTAAAAGAACGGACATTATAACAAATGCTCTATAAACGCTAATCTTAATACTCGTCATGCACAAATGCCTCTTCACATATTGTAAAGTCATTCTAGACTTGTTACCTACTGATAACACTCTTGTTAACAATCATTGGGTACTTAATAGTTGGTGCAATATCTTGAGATGACACAAACAATAGACGAGCGTTCTACGATGCTCGAACGTTTTCCTTCAAAGACACTTTTGGTTATAAACTAGCTGTCGCACGCGACTCCGTTTGTGCGGTATTAGAAGAAACATAATTAGTACTAGTTAGTTTTAAGCTTAAAGCCTTCTTTAAATGGATTATCCAACAAAAAAAGAATTTTTCAAATTGGACCAATAGTTCCTGAGATTGGCGCGTTTAAACAAACAAAATCTTCCGCTTTATAATATTAGTATAGATGTTATCGATGACTTCCATGTTCTTATGCGCGTTGACTATATGTTTGCTATTCATCCAGGTGGTACGAGACTGTGAAGACGACAGCACCTGGCTACCAGGAGGCCAACGAGAAGGGACTCGATGCGTTCAAGGCGCTCGTCAGCAGCATGAAGAAGTAATGAAGGAAGGGGAAGGTCGAGGGAGGCCCGAGTGGGGGGGGGGAAGCCGTGACACAACGCTAATATTGTAGCACCTCACTGCACCACAATAATATAAGACTTGTAATCTAAGGCACAATAAATTAATTTTAAATTTAATTTTTTTTAATATCCTTTATGTTATACAAAATGTTCAGAAATGTGTAAGGAAAAACCATAAGTACTTTGGTTGAATATATGACTATTAAACCCAACTTACCATTAAACAATGTTGCTTAGTTTAGTTGCTTGGACTTCAATGTAATAGAAATTCTATTCCTTTTATTAGTTACATCTATGAATAATGGAATCTTGGAACTCTATATCCAAAGTATTTAGTTTTGTGCACTTATCAGGACACATGAATGATTTATACTTACTGAAAGTAGTCTGTTCTGTTGCGTCAGTTATTTTTTCTTCAATTGACGCACAAAAGTGTAATAATAGTTCTTTAAAGAATATTAGCTACTTTGGCTTTCGCTAGGAAACAGTTTTCGACTGTTCTTACAGATGCTGGAGGCCCATTTTTAAGCCTCTTTCTCTTCCAATCCGAAACCACGCTTTCCTTTTAAGAAAATAATGGGAAGAGTTTGGGGATCAGTCGAAGTAGGGTACCCATAGAAAGGGGAAATATTTACTGTGCGTCCCCGCTTTCCTCGATAAAAGGTAGGTAACGCATCTGCAATTACGTATGTATATGGGTAGCGGTCGTTTGCAATTTGCTCTTATACTAACGCCGGTTGCTGCGCGATTGATAGGTCAATATAACCGTGAGTTTCCACTGCCGTAGGAGTGTACTAGCTGTGTATCTTCGTCTCTGTTTTGTCAAAGAGAGTGAAAGGGATGACGAATTAATAAGTTTTTCTACATTAAAATCTGAATTGGTAAAAAAATAATGTCTCAATAAGTATGCAAATTATATAATTAATCAGATGCCGCGAGTACCTTAAGTTTTTTTTTTTACAAAAAAAAATATTTTACGTTATGACCATGGATTTTTTTTTTTAGTTTTTTCTTACACTAGTACAAAAAAATAGAACATTTTTTTAACTTTATTGCTTTTAGTACCAACTGATAGCGCGCCGCGGTTTCGTCTGGGTGGCAATATCAACAGTCCCTTCCAAAATATGTACATACATGATGGTAAATTGTAGTTACACAGAGGTCACGAATAGCGACTTTGTTTTATACGATTTATTTATAGAATACACTAATATATTAACTTAATTGATGAGTATCATTGAAAAACTTCAAAGTACAACCAACTTTGTATTATAGGTTTTATCTTAAAACAAATCGACCAAAAAAATCTCGCTATTTTTAGCTACAAAGTTTCACTAAATAAGCAATAATGTATCACTATGAGTACGGCAGTTAGTTGAAAAAACGCAACATAACAAAAACAATGTTAAATTCTCTGACATTGCATGTTTTACTCTTTGTGGCTTTTAACGTGACATAGAAATAAATGAAGGAATAAAAAAAACTGGCTACGTGCGAGTCGGACTCGCACACTACGGGTTCTGTATAAATGTGTAGATACATACAGGTATAATTAAAAGTTTACCAATCACGACAATCGTGTCGTAGTTAAAAAGGGTTATCTTACAAATGCGAATGTTAAGATGGATGGATGTTTGTTTGAAGGTATCTTCAGAACGGCTAAAAATATGTAATGTAACTAAACATTTAAGGTTTTCGGAATTGTCTAAATAAAGATTAGAATCTTAATCGAATGGTAGTATCCTTTAGGTTTTGATTCCCTCGCGAGTAGTTGCGGGTTTGAAAACATTCGACTTAAATTGGTGATATATCAACGCAATCAAAAGAAGTTTGATTTTGTTACAACTTAAAGGTATTATAGAACTGAGTATTTGATAGCAATTCCAGCTTGAAACGTTCACACTTTCCTGAGAAAAAGGGTCTTGACAAGCAGACATACGGACGGACAACAAAGTGATCCTATAAGGGTTTCATTTTTTTTTATTTCGAGGTACGGAATCCTAAAAGTCAATGGGCATAAAATATACATTTACTGTAATTAAAATGTACACATAAATACAAGACACAAAACACATAGGGCGCAATTCGATCAGCTCTGCAGACTCGCTGTACGAGAAATATCTTGAGTAAGTGCCTTGAAAATTCTAATTAGTATCAATGTTTAGATTTGTTTCTCTTATTCCTTTTATTCTATGTATTTACTGAGTGTTTTATTGTTCCGATATAAGTATGCGTGATTTATGATCTTCCCTTAAATCTAATAAAAAAATTACATGTTTTTTTCTTTCAAATTAGACAGATTAGAGAAAGGATATCAGAAAATGAGCATTATTGACTTCTACTGCATGCCGGGTTCGCCACCGTGCGCCTTTCTGGACCTGACAGGCGCCATGCTCGGCATCGACCACAGGTTCAGATACCACTCCAAGGAGTTTAGGCGAAGCGAAACACTTGAGGAGGATTTCATCAAGGTATAACTTACAGTCGAGGCCGTTTATTTACTACCCATTGAGCTTCTCATAACAACACGTACGCGATAAGTTATAAGTGTTATAGTAGCTGTACAATATTCTTACCAAAAGGTGATGAAGTTCTTCTGTCGCTTTACACTATTATTAAACTTTAAAATTGTATAATATAAAATGAGCAAAAGGTCAATCAGCAGTTACGAAGACTATATATACCTGATGTAACGCCCTTCAGATCAACCCTCAACACACCGTACCGGTTATCATTGATGAGGGGTTCACGCTGTGGGAGTCGCGCGCAATCTGCAAGTATCTCGTAGCGAAATACGGCAAGGAGGAGCACAAGAATTTGTACCCCGCGGACATCAAGACCCGCGCCATCATAGACCAGAGACTCGACTTTGATCTTGGCATACTGTATGCCAGATTCTATGAATATTATGTAAGTATTACTTAGGGGCCGATGGGACTGAAAAGTCCTTGAATGGTGGCCAAGGATAGATCGACGCAGCGTAGGTAGGCGGCCTCCTACAAGATGGACCGATGACGTGGTCAAGGTTGCGAGAGTGCACTGGATGCGTCATTAGAACATGTAATGTAGCAACCGATGGAGAAGGCCTATGTCCAGCTGTGAACGAACTTGTGCCGATAATGATGATGTTGGACTAGTAATTAATTAATTAAGAAAAGAACAAACTGTGTCCGAAAACATACCGGGGAAAATACGAATCTAATAACATTTTAGTCCTTAAAATCGGTCAGGCAGTTTAGCCTATTCAGGCAGTCGCTGCCGCGGTTAATACCTATAGGTCTCGTGACATTTTATTTTAAATCCAGATCCACCTAGCACTTATCTAATATTGCATTTAATAACATAATGTTTTTCTCTTAGTACTGGCAATTGATTGACGGGTCTCCATTGAGCGAGGTCAGGTTTAAGTTGTTGCAAGAGGCGCTCGGTTTCCTCAACAGTTTCCTGGAGGGCAACAAGTTTGCTGTAGGATCTAATATGACTTTAGCGGACCTGAACATCCTCGTTTCCATAGAGACGATGAGGATCTCTGGCATCGGCGTCGAGCAGTACCCTAACATAGTCAGGTACGTAAATAAAAGACTTATTATTATTAAGTACCAGCTGTTGCCCGCGACTTCGTCCGTGCGGAATAAAAAAAATAATTATTAGGTTATGTGTTCTTCCAAACTATGTTCTACATCTATTTGAAATTTCATCGAATGCATCGATGTATTGAGCACTTCTGACATACTGTGTTATATGAAATACAATTAGTAAGATGTTATAGGTTTTTTTTTTATTATTATTTAACAACCAAAAACGCCCAAGAAAATCATAATTGTTTACATTATAAGCGTATGACATTCCCGCCAAAACACGAATAACTTAATATTGATTGTTCAAAATCTGTCAGTCCACTTTTTTAGCAGGTCAAATTGTTGCAATTCTCCCTGTTTCACTGACATAGTAGCATCAATAATCCTGCAAGAAACCAGAATACTGCGTAATCCTTCTGTTTGTTTCCTACGCAAACTTGTCCGAAATTTGGACGACTCGACCAACGCACAACGAAACGAACGAAAACTACAAAACGCAGCGACAACAATAACAACCAAAGAAACGCAATGACAACACCGAACCTAACACCAAACATATCCGACTTGCGGGAAGCATATCTGTAGCGAGACATTGTATCTTAACATCGCGATTAAAGTAAACGATATCTCGCCACAGCGCCATCTGTTAGGGTGCAGCAGAAACGGCGCCAACACCTTCTTATAATAATCTGTCATTCGAGTTAAAAACCTTCATCCTATTTTCAGGTGGTTCGAACTTGTGAAAAGTATGACGCCAAAGTTTGAAAAGATCATGAAGCCATATCGTAAACATCACAACGATGTTGTAGATCATTACTTAGAGGCCACCGTTTTCCAACGTAACCAAAAGATTATAAGTGATTTAGCTACATCAGACAAAAATTAAAACTAGAATAGTCACATTTGGTTGCTGGTATCGTCTGCCACTAGTTACATTCATACATACAATCTGTATCATCTATAGAAAATAAGAAAATCGGATCGCTTTTGTTAATACTACTTATGTATAGTCGAAGCTGGAGCCTTTTTAACAAGAAAAATATCGCGGTAGCATGGACTCTTTTTTATCTAGATTCCATTGTCTCCTACATTAAAGCAACTTTAAATTAAAATGTTTGAGTTATATTGTAGATATTTCAAGTGAGTTTTGTGAAAGAGCTCACGATGTGCCGATAACTTTATAAAGAATATTGTAGTGTATGCGTAAACGTAGCGTTGTTTGTTTCGAGCGTAAAAGCCATAAATACATGCCGGAAAGAGGGGGGGTCAGTCGAAGACAGGCCTTTGGACCAGCAGCACGTGTCGGTACGTCAACGAGCCAAATATAACGCAACGAATGCTATAAATATGGTTTTATATATTTGAAGTAAATGATTAAATAAATACTTTTAAACTTGTTTTGATGTTTATCTCACTCTTGTTGCTACTAACCTTTCTGAGATCTAAATCTCTATCTATCGTCATCCCTGTCATTATCTTTTCCTTCTTTATTTATAATAATAATAATAATAATAATATTAGCGTATGGAAGAGCAAGGAGCTACACGGCAGGTTCCATCGAGCCTTAACTGGGCCTGATGTGGACCAATTATCTTCCGTGGCTTGGCTGCGCTTCAGCAACCTCTTTGGGGAAACTGAAGGTTTTGTCTTTGCAATTATGGACGAAGTCATCGTAACGAACAACTACCGAAAACATATCCTAAAGGATGGTACGATTGACATTTGTCGGCATGTCGTCGTCCCGGTGAGTCCATTAGGCATATCGTTTCCGGCTGTTCTCGGCTTGCGGACGGTGCATACTTGCATAGGCACAACCAAGTGGCCAAGATCATCCACCAGCAACTTGCCCTTAAAT